CAGCAGGATCCAACTACCACCACACCCACCACCAGAAACCACATTCTCTTGCAAATTAAACTGAATACAGCACCTCTGTGCTGTTCAACTTAATCTTCTGCTCTTCCCCATTCAAAAACTCAGGAAGAAAAAAGTCTAGTTCAAAATGTGAAAATGCGCAATCAGTCATTGCTCACAATTAACCTCACTAAACATGTATCACCTTTTGCCTTTTGTCCTACTCCACTTTTTCTGTATTCCCCATTGAATGCATTTTCCCAATCCTGCTACTATCTCTCTTACAGGTCACTAGTCTCTGCCCCCTTGCACAGTGCCTTGGTGGTTGACAGCAACTCTCCACCACAACCTGGGAGGTTTCAGACACAGCCATGTGCCAGGCCCACCCTCTTCACTTCAGAGTCAATGCCCCTGCACCCTGCGCATTTGCAACTTTCCTTCTCTCTCTCACATAGTCCATTTCTCCCAAGAACCTTCCCTTCCATGTTTTACTTCTCTCAGACAGGGGTTTCCAAGAGCCCCCAGCCAAAAGACAGAATTGAACAAATAATGCAACAATATCTTTAAGTTGCCCTTAATTTTCAATGGTTTATTTCTTGCTGTACCTCCCAAATTACTGTCTGAGGACTCCAAAAACTCCAGATGTCACTTGTTTTGCCAAGTGACAGCTAGCAACCTGCAGGAAGTCCATGTATCTAAGTTATTCACGTACAATCACTCATTGTTGGGCGCAGGGCATGCTTTCCTCATCTTTTAGTAATTCCACCACCCACAGGATACCTGGCTGCCATCTTCCTGTGCCTTCCGGATGATGTTCTGCCGAGAATCAATCCAGTACAGCTGCTTATCCAGGGGGTCATAATCAATGGCTCGAACATTCCTGAGACTATGGATAGGGAGTATGATATCTGGACTCTGCTGTTCATCTATCACCATGCGATTAATTGCATTCTTCTGACTGAACAACAGGAAGGTTGTAGGAGCTTGATGGGATTAAAAAAAAAGGAGGGTGAAGGGGTTACACAGCAGTAACATTAGGTATTTGTATGTTCAAAAAAGACAACTATATGTAACCAGACAGTACCTATTATTTCACTCCCCTTCTTCTTTGCCAATAAAGAAAAAAAATCAAGACAAAACATTAAAATCCTAACCTCTGATCAGTTTGGAAAGCCTTCAAAATGACCTCTTTTTACTATAAATGTCTGAACGTCTATGTGACAGGCAAAGATAATTTTGTGAGTCACAGGACTAATGAATGTGATGACTACTGTCAAAATCACCTCAAAGAAGAATGTTCAACCATGCCTCTCAACTGTCGATTTTCTTTCTAAAGAGGTCCCAGGGAAATGCAGTTCCACTATTCGAAGCTGAACCTTTTGCTAGGTACCCTTTACTTGCAGAGGAAGCTGAGCAAAAGCCAGCACTGGTTCTTTATTTTGAGGTCCCAGGGAAGACAGATTACCATTAGAGTGGTTCAATCCTATTCCCACAAACCCTCTTCCTCCCTGCACTGGAATGGAACAACTAACCCACAGAAAAATGTTAGGTGTATTCAAGCCTGCATTTTGGAAGAAAAATCTATGCACTCTTCTCAAATGTATATATCTTATTTCCAGGTGCTCATCTGGGAATGCTAACCTGCAATCGGAAAAAAACACCCAAGCCTGATGCTCTGCTCCAGCTGTCCAGATACCCAGCAAAAATTTCCTGGACAAATGATCATTTCTTTTCTTAGAAATATATAACATCAGAAAGTAAGAGTTCCCTACCCCATACGGCTGTAGTTTACCGGCTATATCTTACACAGTCAGTGCACAAGGCATTTAATACATTGTTAGAAAGAAATTATCCCTGTATTACATTACTGGGTCAGGAATCAGAGGAGGTTGTTAAAGCATTTTCCCTTTTCACAGAATTCTTTTCAATAATGGTCTGCCTGGAGCCACTGCTGTGTAAGACGGCACAAGAGCCAGCAGCCAGAAATGCAGTTTGCAGTCTCCCTGAAGTTTGTACAATCAATTCTCTATAGCACAAGTCTGGAGAGATTAGCAGTGGGACACTGCACTCATTCAATCCAGCCTGTAAAACAGGTAAGGCAGCACCTGGGAAAGGGGAGTAGGCTAGTCTTCCAGAGAACATCATCACCTTGCTTTGTTATTTTATGCATATGCTTTGAACATTTATTCAGGCTGCTGGAAAAAAGTAAAAGGAGGGGGGGAGTTTCCTTGGTAACTAACATTCAGTCCTAACATCCTATAACAATCAGGCCTAATTTGCTTTCTGGAAAACCTGTGTTTCCCCTCCAAGCATTTCTCCAGTAATTTAAGCCTCCTTCTACTTAGCTCTAAACTGTAGAAGAAAGCACAAAAAAGGCAAAGCAAAGTTTATATGAATGTGTATAGCAAAATATTAGATTCAGAAAACATCAGCATTCTTACCAAGCAGTTAAGTGAGAATTGGAATGGGGGAAAAAAGCTTAAGATAAAACAGTGCAGGTAAACATATTATCATAAGCACCCAAAACTCTTTCCATTTTTCCCCAAAGGCACCCTCTCACTGTCTGAGATTGCCTGGCTTCCAACTTTGAATTGATGGCTCATTATAAAAACCAACAGCAGAATTTCCCCCCTTGAGTCCCCACATCTCTGAAACAGTACCAATTTCAGAAATCCCTTCCCAGTTTTCATCATGCTCCCTCCCAGTGTTCACATTTTTAAACTATATTTTTGGCAGGCAAATGGGAGTACAATGAGCACATATCCCCTTTAACACTGCCTTCAAACTTTGTGACACGTGGTAAGTCTAATGAAATCTGTTATCCTTCCCACACTTCTGAGCAGTGTGTCCTTCCCATAATTGGAAGAATCTACGACCACATGAGCAGAGTAATCTAGAAGGGAGAAACTGGCCTCTAGACAGGGCTTAGGCTATTAATAATGTTTGGGAGTACATAAACAAGCAAAACAGGCAAGAGAAAGTTAAAACGATTCATGCTCCAATTACAGTGGCCAAGAAAAAAATTAAATTATATGCAGAGAAGCCCAAGTCTCCCATCACCTACAAATGAGAAGTTGGAAAGTTCCCAGGTTTGACCATGGCAGAAGGAAAACTCCTAATATCTCATGAACGGCCCTGAACTGTACTGCAGGAAATTGATTCTATTTGCTTACAACACATTTTTTTGTATTTTATTCCTTCCTTTGTTTCCTAGAGCATTTTCACAAGAAAACATGACCTTTAATCATTTTGCTACTTATTCTCTGCTGGAAGTCAAATTCCTCCACCTACAAAATCACAGTCATCACCAGATTGGTGCCAGCGTGTCTTGTAACTTACAGGAAGGTCTGAGTATGTCAGAGTGCAATAATCCAGTTGTCATGCAAGCACCCTTTCTAATAACAAAAGGAAAGGAGGAGTACAGGAGAAATAGGGGAGTGGAAAAGCAGAGTTTTCTGAAGACCAAGATTCTAAAAAAATGCATGAGGTGGCATTCATGGAACAAGCTCCCTGCTTTTGGCTTAAAACAACAGTTGGATGTCTCTACTCATGCATAATGTGGATGAGATACAATCTGTCTCTCTGCACCATGAAACTCTTCACCCACTGACTAATCTGAATGACACCAGTGGAAATCAGCCATCCAGCATGGCTGCCAAAATTATGAGCTTCACTGGCAGCCAGTTATTGAGAGATGGATAAATTATTTGGTTAGAAACTAATTACACACAGCCTGAGGGGCCTTGTGGTTCATATTCTGCACAACAATAAAGAAAAATGGGGCTAGGCTGCACTGAGATCAGTGCTGGGGAGGCTGTGGAGCCATCCTCTCCTCACTGAGGAAGAAACACTTTTAGGGGTATGAGTGTGGCCGATCTCAGCATCTCATTAGCCAGCAAACATACAGAATTGAATCTTCACCATTCAAAGGCTACACAAAGTCCAGAGTATAGACCAAAGCATCACATATCCTTTAAGTTGGGCAATATTAGAAATAAATAAGCATATAAACAAGCAAGCAAGCACTTGAGAAGGGTCTGACAGATACAAACCCAAAAGCATTTTGAGCTTTGCTGTTACACAGATTTAGCTGAATCACTGTAATGGTTCACTAACAGCCACTCTTATTTTACGGTGATACTGGTAGATTGCAAGACTAATTTTTTTTTGTGCTTTCAGTATCTTATATGAAACTAGTTTTAACTTGGCCTATTGGCAAACAAGCTTCACTATCTCACATAAAACCAAAACCCTTCTTTCCTCCAAGTACATTGCTTGCATCTGCTACTAAACCTATCTGCTTCTCTGTTTTATCTTCATTTATTATGGCTTACCACTACAAGTCCTGTTGTCAGAGTTCAAGGAATAGTGAGCTGGGCAGCCACAGACAAAGCCACTGACAGGGACTGCCAAGCACAGGTGAGAGCAGTGACCGTTGCTAGAGGCACATTCATTCCAGCCTGCCTGCCTGGAGGAATGGAAGACCAAGATGTCCATAACGTAATCCAAATGCCCTTGGATGATAGTCCGGTTCTGGCCACTGGTCTTGTTGGCTCGTTCAATGCTGCGCCGGCTCCAGTCTGTCCAGTAAATGTAATCCTGATACTGAGTCAAGCCAAATGGGTGAGGCAAATCATCAGCTATAATCTCACGGTCAAGGCCTGTTTCCAAAAGAAAGGGAGAGAAAAAGCAGAATTAAACGGGGACAAACACTATGCTGTTTCATGTTGCTGGACATGTGCCCTGCACAGAAAGGTTAAACATACATAGTTTAAAATTACTACTTCATTATTACAAAAGTAAATTATAAAGAAATGTACAGTATTCAAAAGACCATCCTGAAAGTCTCAGACCCTGTCACAGAAACATGCTAATCCTGCTTGCGATTCACAGACGAGAATATATTTTTCTAGAGAAAAAAGTCTGTTTTGATAATGATCAGGGTTCTTAAAGACTGTCCTTTTCCTCCTCCCTGAAGCAAACAGAATGCCTCTGAAGGAGATGCAGGATTCTGACACTCTAGTCCCAGTTCAGCATCTCTCATACCACATTTGGGTCTCTGCCTGCTGCATACAGAGAGAATTGTTATGAGCTTAACAGAATTCTCCACTGTATTATAAGAAAAATTAAATGCACAGCATTAAACTAACCTGTCTCTGGAATGCAGTAACAGGAAAAAGCAGTCAGAAACTCAAGGCAGGAAACAGTCAATTGTGTATGCCATGAAAATGTTAACAGACCTTAAGGAGAGGGTATGGCAGAGGGCGAGGGGAAATGATTTCAACTGTGTTATTTCAACCACTTCATTACCACAGAACATCTTGCTGTCTAGTCACAGAAAATGAACAGGAGATTATGAAGCAAGAAGCCATTCCCTTTTTGCACTGAGAAGATGAGGATGAATAGCCCTGCACTCTGCTGTACCAAGCCACAGGCATGGGGAAGATGAAATTTCTATGCCATGTTCAGTTCCATGGTACACAGGGGAATGCTGAGCCAGCACCAACAGCACACCAAAATACAGGAGAAGCTGAAGAAAAGCTGTTATATTACATATAACTCCTATAATGCATTTTAGCTTTTTCTAGCTTTGTACCACTATTGCAAATGTACTGTTTAAAGTAAACTAGCTCCTTTAGCCTTAAATATTGGCTAGTGATGACACTAATGTAAATAATCTGGCACACAACAAGGCACTCCACTCTTTCAGGTGCCAAGAAGTTAAAAAAAGATAATTTGCAAATCTGAGAGGGCTTGTGTCCTCAGTATGCTACCCCAGGACAATGAAAGCATAAAATACTCCATATCCATTTAGCTGTAATGTCAAGTTTATAAAACCATGACACAGACCCCAGCATGAGAGTGGGCCTCCCTCCTCCCCAACAACTAGTATTAGCCAGAAAAAGTGTACAGGATTCCTGAGGGAGGGGCATGGAAACATGCCTGAACCCTGAGGATATCAACAGAGACTAAAAGTCACATTGTATTAAATTACATTGTGAAAAATGTCCAATAAGCTGTTGTTATCTTGGCTTTCTCTCTAACTTCCTACAGATGATGAAGTGTTTGTTATGTATCTGCCAGTGCTCTTCAGAACAGCAAAACAAGGCCCTCCAAAACATTGGAAGTTGACAGCTTTGTCCTACATATAACTGAAAACACGTACAGCTTGTAGAATTTTAATTTTGTGAGGAACTGTATCACCTACAAGAAAATCGAGGTCTCGCTAAATGCTGTGTTGCATAAACATCAATTATAGAAGCAAATGTTAAAGGCGTGTGAGTTTGGAAAAAAATGGTTTTGTCTTAAGACGTGTATCTCTGCATTATTTAAGCAATAATTTGCCACAGGGAACTGCAAAAAGGCAGCAGCATCCCCATGATGCAGCCCAGAGCACTGGGGCTTACCTAGCATGTTGGAGGATTCTATCAGGTTGGTATCGAGGTCGGTCCAGTACAGCCGTCTTTTAGCATAATCAATAGTTAGGCCATTAGCACGTCCCACATTGGGTACCAACGTAGTCCGCTCACTGCCATCCATAGCAGCTCGATCAATCTTTGGCTTACCACCCCATTCAGTCCAGTACATAAACCTTATTAAAAGGGGTAAAAAACCAAAAATCACGTTTATTCCAAAGGCGAATTCAAGGAGAGAAACACAACAAAAATCCTTAGAAAGAACAGGAGAGAAACAAGAGCTGTAAATTCAAGCATTTATTAAGCCCATTACACTAAATGTTTTTTCCAAATACAAGCAAGGAAATGAGTCAAGTTTCCTCAAAATGCGTCCAACATTTTTTTTCCACCTGGAGCTGGATTTTCATCAGCAAGTTCCATATGAAAGAACTTCAATGTTAACTAATCCATGCACATCAGTTAAGAGGTAAAAGGTTGGCAGTTGGGCACATTCATTTATACCTGGTTACTTAGCAAAATATTTTTTATGACACTTGGCTTCTGTTTCTATTCAGTTGTCCATCAAATGAAGGAATACAGAAAGGTGGGTATGCAGGGTACTTTTGTTAATAGGTGCCACTGCTCATCTCCACAAAACTAAGTCAATCAGCCATGTAAAAGTGTGTTATGTTTCAGCCAAGGTCAGAATAACACAGAACTGTATGGCATTTCCACTGGAGCAAAAGTACAAACTATCACATACTCACAGGCCAGTTTATGACTCGTTTGGCAGAAGCACAGACTTGTACACATTTACATTTCCTTTAGGCACTGCAGAGTGGGCTGTATGTTTGACATGGGGTGGCTAGTTAGTCACTTCTTCCAAAATGTAAAGCCAACACCATTTTAAAAACAAGTGAGATGAAGCTAGCCAATGCTTACACCTTTCTGCTTTAATACCTCTGGTAATAAACAACTGTAAAATGCTTTCAATTTCAACCAACCACACATGGGGAAGAATGCTTCAGAAACCGTTGATCAAGGGGGAGCTATTCTTTAGATACCAGGAATATCTGCACATTTTTCTTCAAAATTCTGCAAGAATTTTGTGCATAAGTTTTGCAAGTTGCACGCAGCATGGACCTGTTCAAATTGCCCCCATGGTAGCAATGCCATGAGAACTTCCATATAAAGTATGACGACACGGCCCAGCTGTACAACAAAAACAGGAGTTTGGACTCAAAACTGAAGTATCCTTTTTCCTAGTTTGTGGTGGAGAGATAAAGCACTGAATTATAATAATCCTTGAAAAAATCATAGAATGGTTTGGGTTGGAAGG